GCAGTTCTGCGGCTCTGCAGTAGCAGCGGCTACAAATCTCGGCAGCAGAGAAAAACAGGTTAGTGACCACAATAATCTGACAGAGATGATTATGAACGAGTGAGTCACTAACCAGGTTTTGCAGTAAAGTCAGTGCCCAGAGAACGAGGTTGATTCCAGCCAGTCGGTTGAAAAGACACAGTTGACGCTGCCAGAGAGTTCCAAACTCTGAAGCCTTAAATGCTACATAACTGGCAGGAGGTCTGATCCAGGCAGATGAAGGAAGGCAGGATAATCCAGGTCAAAGTCAGAAGTCAGATCCAGGTTCAGTCCATAAGAAGAATCCGGCAGGTGTCCAAAGACAGGTTAGGCCAACAGATAGGAACAGTGATGGGCAGGCTCAGAGGTCCAAAAGCAAAAGGATCCAGGATCAGGCAAACAGAACACAATTAGTTAGGCTAAAACTCTCACACCAAGGGCTCAAGAATAATCGGGCTCTGATGACCGGGAGAAAGCAGTTTAAAAAGAAGCTGTAATAGGTGGATATGATGAGCAGTATTGAGAAACTGGGCAGAACTGGCAGGAGAATGAAATGAGCAATCAAGGCAGCCATCAGCGCCAAGATCATGACACTAAGTAAAAAGTAGCCATCCAAGAAATTATTTTAGTAAGAGTAAAGACATATTTGGTTAGAAAGCTCCCCAAGTACTTAACCTATACCTAATAATTAAAACTATGTTATAATGACAGACCAAAATATAAACTTAGAGACTATATTAAAATAATTTAAATAAGCAAACTATTGCAAATACAGGCAGAACAAACATTTTTCCAAAGCATTTAGTTTTACACAAAAGTTGTGAAACTATATTTTCTTCTTACCGTATATAAACTTGATTTCCAAAAAGGTTGAAGTAAGCTTGTGTACAGCAACATTTACTTTAAAGCTATACAGTAGTGTGTAATTTTCAGCGACATCTAACGTCCAGACTGCAGACCGCAGCAACATGAACATCTCACCGCTTCTCCCCCCCAACAGTACGGCGAGCGTTACGGGACAAAATGTCTTCCACGACATCCGCATCACCTACCTTCTCAAGTGATGAGGTTTGTTTACATAGATCATTTTACAGATAGTATTTCATAAGCCTGTGTAGGGTATAGATTTCATGTAGACTTAAGATAATAAATATACCCGTTATTTTTTCTACATGGGCAATCTCGCAATCGCTAGTTTGTTGGCTCTGCGCTGCCGTAGCGCAAAGATGTCTGCCTCCATGGCTGCGAGACCCGCTCCTATGTAATTATAAATAACGAATTCTAAGGCAACGCAAATATTAAGGTTAAGAGGCTGAGCTCGTAGATGATGATAAATAACATAGTTATGTATAATATATTACATTTCTGACTGTATATCCCTGTAATTATTACACACTGTAGCTTTAAAATACACATTAACTGGGTGTCTTTGTCTGAAGCACTTTTTTTAAAACAAGGTTGGTCATTATTTAGTCAAATTTTCCACAATGGATTGAGCAGCCAAACATTGTACTCATGATAATGTAATGATATTTTATTAATAAAATATCCAAGTAAAAGTAAAAAAGTATGTTGCAGTAAAACTACTCCTAAAAGTATGTTTTTGTCAAAAAGTTACTTTTAAGTTACATTAAGTAAATGTAACTGGGTAAATGTAACTAGTTACTACATCCTTTTGCATACCTTCAGATTTATGGTGGACACTAGGGCCACTATTAAATATTCACAGTAGGATAAACTTAAGATTTTCTTATGGTTTTACAGTATTATGAGTACAACTCTAAGCTGCATTATTTTAAAATATCTGGATTTAAAAAGAAACAAAAATTAAATTCTTGCCAAATTGGGGGCTGATCTTTGGCATAAACGTCATACCTGTAGTCGACTAATTGTCAGTGAAAGCTGCTACTAAATAACAGTAGCATTTTACTCCATTGTTGGGTCTCACTCCACATTATGGTGTGCATCCATACAAAGCATTTTTGGCACCAAATGCAATTCAGCTAAATAGTTATGTTGTTTTTTTGTGTTTTACAAAGTGTTTTTTAATGTAGATTTAAAATCATTATGTTCACAAAGAAACAAAAGAAATAACAAGGGTGCACAAAAATTGCTGCTACAGCCTGAGAGGGATTTTTGTCTCACTTAAAATTAATTAAATGCACAATATATTAATTTCCATGACTTCGGACAGGACAACAAACAGAGCAGATTTAAAGTAAAAGTTAACTGAGGGGAAAGGGAGTGTGAGAACCAGGGAGATTGGGAAGAATTTGGTCACCAAATTGTTGAAAATAAAAAAGTGTATGGTTTATGATATTTGTTAGGTGGAGAATCCAGAGAGGTTTTGAGTGGGACACAGAGAGCTGTGGCTGGCAAGCTTAACAGCTGTTTGTGTAATACTTCTCAGTAGGCTGTTGTTAGTACTGGACGTAGGAGGATGGATGTGCAGGCAATGGTTCGGAGGAGCAGTGAAATGGTCTTGGTCAGTGATGGAACGTTGGTAAACAGCAGTTTCAGGAAGGCACAAGCACATGGTTAGCCTGGCTTGTTTGGATTCAGACTTGCAGGAACCAAGTAGTCAGTGGATGATGGTTGGCTCCAGAACAAAAGTGGTCTGTGGGAAAAAAGAACAAGGCTTAGTGTGAAACTCTTCTTTCAAGCTTCGATTTCAGGAGCAAAGATCAGGTCAGGTTCAACCCTTGGTGAGCTATTGCTCTGACACCTTCCTCTTGACTCCTGCCTCCTCTTATGCTTCGCTTGATTGCCAGATAATGGAAACACCTGTGGCTGCAGCCTACCAGTCGCACCCTTCAGAGAGAAAGAAAGAGAAGAATCACAAATAGATCTGTGTACCTGACACAATTAAAAAGTCAAAAATGTGATTTTGAACAGCACAATCACCAAGCTGTTTGTCTCAGTAGCAAGTTCATTGTGTTTTACCGTAATATCTGATGCTATGGGCTGCATGCTCATTTCAAGATGGCATAAACTTTACCATGAACTTAGCATCTGCTATTTGATGACGACATCATGTTGGATGTTTTTGCTCCATCAGCTACCAATGTCCTAAAACACCATTTGCTACCTGTATAGATACCTACTTCCTTTCTGTCCATTTTTTGGGGGTAGAGAAACGATTTCCATACAACTGACTTGAATGAGGGATACTTGCTTGCACACCAACAGGAGCCCACAAAGTAAAGTTTGGTAACCACTGCTTTAACATATTGTGGAGGCTAAACTAGATTGGTTTAGATTAAGGCAAAAGTGTAGCCTGACGTAGTCCTACTAAATTCTAGTCAGAATAGGAGTCTGATACTGCTCCATAGAGCTGTGATTATGGGGCGTGTTTTGAACGAACCAGGAAAAAAAATGCCTCTGCACTCAATTGGATAGACCTATGCCTGACGTATGTTAAGCGACGCATAGTTGTTGTCAACAAAAATCAAAGCGTGCAGTGACACGCCTAGAATAAGAAGATGAGCCTTAATCGCGTTTCTCTGTTCCTCTTTTGAAATTAATTTGCTGTCGATATCTTCTAGAACAGACCTAATAGCAGAATCTACTCACCTCAACTCTCCAGCAGCAGCCATTGTTGTTGTCACCCAAGCGCGCTTTGGTCACGTGGTTGATTACATTACTGTTGATCATCTGTCTATCATTGTATAAAGCCCGCCCTGACAACTTGATTGGATCGGCAGAGAGTGGGCGATAATACTCGCGCTACTATGGAGCACTGCCAGACCGAACTTCCCGACCTCAAACCTTGTGGGCGGGACTAAGTTCGGAATGGCACCCTGGCTAGCAAAAGTGTAGTATTAAATGAATCGGTATTACAATGTCAAAGTCCCAAAAGAAATGTGCTAATCCTTTTTAAAGACTTTAAAGCTGATGCAGACACTTTCCTAATCCAGTCCAATTAAAAATTAGATTTACTTAACAGAAAACATTGTTTGATATACAAAGCTGATGTAGACAGCTAAAAATTGTTCTTCAAAGTGGTTCCTGTTCCTTCAGTTACGCATTGCTTTGTGTTGTTCTATAGCAGAAATTACAATGCAATGTTATCCGGTCTGCAGAGAAGGGGATTGGCTTCATTCTTTCCAGGATCTCTATGCTTCCAGGACTCTGAGGCGTGCAGGGAAGATTGTGGCTGATCCCTCGCATCCCAGCCCCAAACTATACCAGTCACTTCCCTCTAGCAGGAGGCTGCGGTCCAATAGGACCAAAACCTCACTAGTAGCTACACCAACGTAGCATCTGCAGACCTCCTGCATTATATTATAACGCAAAGTCTACTGTGTATATAGTACATAGCTATGTATTGTATATTGTATATCCTATGTTTTATATTGTTTACACAGATCCTGTGTTCTGTATATATATCTAATTTGACTGCACCATCGACACCAAGTCAAATTCCTTGTAAGTGCAAACCTACTTGGCAATAAATTAGATTCTGTTTCTGCATATTTAAAGTTATGTAAAACATATTTTGATTAAAGTTATAGCATTGCATCTAGTAATTTAAACATGTAGTTCAATGCATATCCAAGTAATTTCTGTTCTATCTGCAAGTTGAATGAACCTGTCAAAAAGGGTTTTGTCTCCACTGGTGGCTGTTTTTCTTGCAATGTTTTTCTCTGGAAAATAGGCACACCCATCAGGCCCCATTAGTCTTTACACTGACAGGCCAGCCTTCCACTGAAAGCCTCTGTCTGGCAGAGGTTTCTGATTGCCTCAGACACTAGTCGGATATTTTTACTAACAGGCTAAGACACACTGCCATTTGTTCAGGGCATTTATTGCTGGTGATAATCCTGATTTAAGTTCCCTGCAAGTAAAGAGACACAAAAAACTTTAAATAGTTTCCTATGCTCCTTCTGCAGGTGATAAAACGAGGAGAAGGAAGGTCATGCAGACGGATGTGTCAACAGGTCTTGTAAAAATGTCTGAATATGTTACCTTCTTGTTTTCAGACGGACGCAGCTCTGATGTACGATGCCGTGCATGTGGTGGCAGTGGCAGTGCAGCAGTCGCAGCAAATCACCGTCAGCTCTCTGCAGTGTAATCGCCACAAGCCGTGGCGCTTTGGAGGCCGTTTTATAAACCTTATCAAAGAGGTAAAATGCCAATCACCTTCAGATGGGCTGAACTCTGTAGCTTCTCCTTTGTTGCATGTTTCACGTTATTTATTTTGTTCTTTGTTTTCCTTTCAGTTAACAATTTCAACATTGTTTTCCATAGGAAACATTTTGTCATTGTGTTGATGATCATCGTAATCAAATCTTGACATTTACAGCAATTTTTTTGAAACTGTAATCCGAGGAAAACACTGCTTTACTCACAATGACTATAATTATTTCTAGGATGTTTTATTCCCTCTCTCCCTGTATTTTCTCCATACTTATCTCATTCTATGTTTTTATCAAAACCTTGCTGTCTCCTAACTCGAGTCAGGGTCAGCCGCTTGCTTTGTTCTACAAAGCTCTTTCATTTTGTGGGTAGTATCATTGCAGGTAATTTCACAATAAGCCATTGTTGCAGCCGGTGCTCTCCCATAGCACCACCCCCCGCCCCCACATCCACACCTTATCCTGCTTCTGCCACTGCTCTCAACACCCGTCTGTTCCTCCAAACAGCTTTGATGTTAAACTTCAAGCCCAATGAACCACATGCATAATGAACTTTTACCTGTCAAACCTGTCTCTGTTCTTGCTGCTTTATTGGTGCTTTTTCTGTTGCATAGACAGAAGGTGAGGTAAGAGCCAGATGAATTTAGAAATCAGGATGGAAAATGTTACATTTAGTAAAGTTGGATTTTCTTCAGAAAGGCTACAGTGAAGCAATGGGATTTCAGGAAATGTCTTCTTCCAGGCTCACTGGGATGGCTTGACGGGACGCGTTCTCTTCAATAAGACCAATGGGCTGAGAACAGATTTCGATCTAGACGTCATAAGCCTAAAGGAGGAAGGGCTGGAAAAGGTGTGTCCTTAATGGGTACTGTTTTAGTTAAAAAAACAAAACAACATATTTTATTTTCTTTGAAGTCACAAACTGATGTGAACTTGACACTAAACTGTTATAACAGATTGGAACGTGGGATCCTCCCAGCGGTCTAAATATGACAGAGTCTCACAAAAGCAAGACATCCAACATTACAGACTCCCTTGCAAACAAATCCCTGCGTGTTTCCACTATTCTGGTATAGTAGAGAAACAACACAAGCACTGAACACTCAAACTATGTAATAATTATGTTGCAAAAACACTCTAATTTCTATACCAGCATGTATTTCCTTGACAGGAGGAGCCGTATGTCATGTTCAAGAAGTCGGACAAGCCTCTGTATGGGAATGACCGTTTTGAGGGCTACTGCATCGACCTGCTGAGGGAACTCTCTGGTATCCTGGGGTTTCGCTATGAGGTGCGATTAGTGGAAGATGGAAAGTATGGAGCACTAGACGAGGGCACAGGCCAGTGGAATGGTATGGTGCGGGAGCTCATGGACCATGTGAGTCAATATTCAGCAGGGCGGCATGCATGCTGCAGCACATAGATGTGTTGTTTCCCTTTTCTTTCAGGCTGGAACTCATCTTTTATAAAGTTTGTTATTTCATGTGTAACCTGTGCAGCTCTAAGCAAAAACCTAAAATTCTGCCAAAAGCAGTAAAAAAAATACATGCACTTGCAGGTATTGCCAGATCTTTTAAAAAAACACAGGGTTGTAAAATGAGCCGTTCTGGAGTCTCAGCTTGTTGACTTACCAACCACTTTATTAATTACACCATGCTGATACAATTTTCAATGTTGTTTTAAATTATAATAATATTTGTTTCATTGCATTATTTTCCGATACAATGAAATTTGTCCTTTGTATTTCATCTATTTTTTAAGACTGCCCCTTTCTAGCTCCAGGAAGCATTCTGGGGCTAAGGGTATTGCTCACGGTCTCTGACTAGCAGTAGGAGTTGAAACCCAGGAACTTAATGTTTTTTTAAGGACTCGAACGCTCTAACTACTAGGCCTGCACTTCCCAGGCAGAACTACTTGCCTCCATAACTACCTTAATTATTCAGTGTATACATTCAACAGTGTCTATACATTTTTTGGGAGATTGTGGTTCAGATTTATTAGCTGTATATCCAGGATGCAGTACTCACAGTACTCTCCCACCACCTCCCAAAAACTTCTCTATTTAAGTGATACCATTCTATACCAAATTTATTTATAATGATCCCAACAGGACCAAAGTGCTTCACGCAATCATAAGATAGTCAATCATTAAACAATAAAGTGGTATATAATAGTAGTAATAAAAAAATAAGCAATAATAAAAGAAAAACATTAAGATAATGTCTACATCTCCAATCATATCTGGTGACTGTGGAGACCATGGAAGTACAGGTAATTCATAGTCATGTGGGATATTTCAAGTGAGATGGTATATTATGCTACTTGAACAAGCCAAGAAAATTTTTTTTAACTTCATGTCAGTTGGTCATCATGAGATGAATATGATCAACTTTTTTAGCAGCTTACATAGCATTCATTTGATACTATGCCATACCTATGGCCATTACACTACCATAAACGATCAATTCCTCGAAATGTTCTAGCTGATTTTAAAAATTATCGGACCGGAAAACATTTTTCCAATCTCTCATTGTCCAATTTAGGTGACTATGTATGTAATGTAGCCTCAGTTTAGTGTTCTTAGCAGATAGCAATGACAATCTGTGTGGTATTTTCCCTACTTAAGCTCACTTGCTTCAAGGTTCAACATGTTGAGAGAAGATTTACACAAGTTTGTTGGAAGTTGCTAAATTTTGCTGTGTTTCATTTATATCACCATATGACTCAATGTAACATACCTGAATTAAGTTGCTGTGATTGGCTAATTTGCGAATTATATTAACAAGCAATTAAGGAATATGATTCCACACAAGTGTACCTAACAAAGTGACAGGTGAGTACTGTATATATTTAGGGTTTCATTGATATTCAAAAGGAAGTCAAATACATAAACTGTAAATTTGCTTATGCAAAAATCTAAATGTTTTACAATTCTAAAAATCCTAACAGCTGCGTTTCATAAAAATGAGCTTCAAGTTATATTCAGTTACATTTTAATAGGGCTAATTTTTGCACCAGTCACAGGTTATATAAATCAATTTTTTGCCACTCAAGACTTCAGATTTACTATTAGGTATTATTGTTAGTTTTGCATCATGGTATTATCTGAAACATAAACAGCATGATTGTTTAATATTCATCTTAAACATCTTCTTGCTTCACTGTGAATTTTTCACTGTCAGTGTCCTTTGCCAAATGTAAAGACAATGTCATTGAAATGAAATATTGGCCCATGCTGGTATAAATCATAGAACTTGATATATAAACTTCAGTGATGATGAAAAAATTGCAGCTAAATGTTTGTATAAAATAAAAGATGATTATCTTTTTATTGCTTGAGTAATGAAAGCCATGAGGAAAAGAAATTAGTGCCAACTAATACATCAAAGAAAACCTTGAGTAGGAACTCAAGTAAAAAGGGGTTCACAGAGCTGCTGTTCAAAATTAAATAACTCTTGAAAGGATTATGAGAAAATACTCAGGCACCAGTGCTTAGCAGCAGCCCAAGGGTCTAATGTTATGTTCAGATGGGACACAAGGTTAATTTGTCACAGATTAATCTACAGTAAAGGCGGCTGCCTGTGTGACTCACCTTTGGTGCAAAATAAGAAGGATTAAACATGTTACCTGTAATTTCCAGAAAATCGCTCTTTAGCTGAAACATTGTCAGGTTTTGTTTTTGTAATAGGTTATGTTTTTGTTTATTAACATTTCAAGGGCCTTACAAATAAAAATAATTTGTTTTTTATCCAGTCATATGACTATAATATATTCGTAATTATTCTTTTTTTCTTCGGTTGGTTGGGTGAATGCTTTTTTAAGTATTTGCTCAGTGTTTGTTTTGTTGTTTGTTTTGTTTTTTTGTTTGCTGGATTACCAATTGTTTGGTCTGTTGGTCTGTTTGATTGGTTGGTTAGGGAGAGGAATGTTGTGATGCTAGCTTCAGCGGATTGGTTGAAAGATTGGTTGGTTTTCTAGTCTAATAGGTCTTTGATTAATTTAACGGTTGGTCGGTTATTGAGATGGTTATTAGAATGAGTTTTTTTATACATCTTTTTACCCTGTCAAAGCTAATTCTATTGTCTGATTGCAGAAAGCAGACCTTGCCGTTTCTCCTTTGGCCATCACTTATGCCCGGGAGAAGGTTATCGACTTCTCAAAGCCCTTCATGACTCTGGGGATAAGTATCCTGTACCGCAAGCCCAACGGCACCAATCCTGGGGTCTTCTCTTTCCTCAACCCGCTCTCACCGGATATCTGGATGTATATTCTGCTGGCTTGCTTGGGTGTCAGTTGTGTGCTGTTTGTCATAGCCAGGTAACATGTTAACCCCTCTGAATTTATCCTCATATTTTCTGCCAATCAAGCTGCCTGGCTGTTTTCCCGACAGACGGGTGTTACAAAGTACTGGAGCAAGAAAATACCCCTTAGATTTGTTGTTAATTTAAATTATATTTAATAACACATTTTTCTCCTTAAATACACAAACACTGACACTACGGTGGTCTTATAATATGGCTTATGCTTACAAGTTTGTTTTCCACAAACAGTGCAGCTATAAAATCAGCTGCATATCTCCTGATCAAGTGTGAGAAATGTGTGGTGTTCAGTTTTAAATTTATCTTGATGAACCCCTCCCTCTGAAACCCCCGATGCATGGCTGATGCAGTCTAATGTGTGTTGACCCCAGGGCTCTTTTCCTTTCATCCTGAGAGGTTTGGGTTTAATGCACATCTCAGCAAATGTTACCGGCAAAATGATCACACAAGAGGAATGCAGCAACTGTCACCTAAGTTAGTTCAGAATATGCAAGATTTGAGCATTTGTTTCCGTAGTTGGTAAGGGTAAGTAAGTGGCATAAAATTAATCTAAATGTATTCTGGTTGAAATAAAACACGCCTTCTGTTGTTTTATTAAAATACAATCTTGTAATTCTATGCTTACACTATTCTTTATGTTTGTTGCGAACCATATCAGTCATGCAAATAGACCAGGTCATTTCTAGGAGCCTAAAAATATGCACTCAAGTCAAGTCAGCAGTTTGCTGAGTTGGTTTTCTCATAATTGTGGTATTGATTGCAGAGCTGCCAGATTGATTAAACAATCCCCACAAAAGCAGGGTATATTATTTTCTTTAATCCCTTGCAAATAGAGCGAGTAGAGTGAGCTTATGAAGTCCCAGCTTTGCACAATAAAACACTAAACACCTCCATCTCACCAGGGACTCATGTCTTTGACTCAATTCATTCACATATTTTTCTTGACTAAATAAGCTATCTCATTTCAAAGCTAACAAAATAAAGCAACATATTTCACTCTGCTTTTTATTATTTCCAGCTCTATTTGTGACTGAATCGATTGTTGCTGTTATTTACTAAATAAGCGGTGCTCTCAGATCACAAAACAACATCACCAATGGGAGGCCCCCTCTGTTTAAGATCGAATGATTTAAATTGTATTATCACATGTTTACATGGCTTTGTAATTGTAAGCACTTGTGAGACACATTTGCAGCCAGTCAGGTGGCTACAATTTGTGAAAATCAACCAGGACACTTTTAATACTTGGTCTAGGATGGGAAAGACAACAAATCTATAACCCCAATACAATAAATTGAAACCAACAGAGGGGGTAATGGGGAAAGCATGTTTGTGTTTTTCTTTTCCTATTAGGACAGATGTACAGAAAAAAAAGATGGGGAACAATTCTCTTAAAATTCTGCTCGCAATTTCACATGTCCCATGAGCTGTTTCTGAGGAGGTGACCTTACGTCTGCCTGTTCCTTCCCCACATCCTACTTATTGGTAAGCATGGCAGGACTTTACAGGAATACAGGCCAGCAACAGGAAAAGGTCGTATAGAGCAGCCACCGGGCCCTCACTGGAGCAGAATACGCATGTAGACGAAGACAGACACAAACGCAATCCAATCAAGTGTGCATCTTATAGATCTACGCAGTCTGCATACATCTTCCATCGCCCTCAGTGTGCCTCAGGCAGCAGCTTCACATTATATGTAATAACTGTGAACAACCACATAACTGTGGGAGTTGGGGATGGATGTGACGGTGTCAAGACACATACACAGCAGCTTCATGTGCACAGCTATAAAGGTTCTTTCAGAAATAGTCTTACAGAGTGGATGAGAGCAGGAATAAAAAAGAGGGAAAAGTATGTGCAAGCAAACAAACTGAAATCCACTTAGCTCCACAAGGCCATTGTGTCATTACTGTTGCCTGTGGTTCCAAGGAGACAGAGCTCATTGACATTCCAGTAAATCAGGCATCCTGATGGTGTTGACAGGATGAATTATAGTGTGTCATCACCGCCATGTCCACGCAGATGATTCTCGAGGGGACAGAATTGCAGAAAGCTGCCAAGGAAGGGCAACATCTAAAAAATATTGCTGCATTCTGACTTCATCTGAAATCAGATAATTAGACAACCATGATTAAAGAAAAGATTAAAGCGAGATGAAAAGTCTATATTTATATCTACAGTCATCATGCAATAGCCTTTCACGTTGTTTCATCACAGATTTCCAGTTTCTGGCTTTGTTTATCAAATACACTATGCAACAAACAGCTTACAGCAACATTTTGCATAATTAAAGACTATGAGATTTAATAAAAAAAAGGTTAAAAAATACAAAGAAATCAAAAAGAGAGAAATATCCAGGTTACATAAACATCATTGATTTGTGGTGATACTGTCCCCTAAAGGGACGAGTAAAAGAAAACCATGCCAGCATTATGCTCTCAAAGCATCAAGCATTCAGTCCTCTTTCCTCCTCCCAGTGAAAGATGACTCACCGGGAATAATCATTTTTTTTCTTCCCTCCACATCTCTGCAGACCATCACCTGTGGGTTTTTTTCCCCCTCTTTTTTTTTTTTGCACAACTAAGGTCTTAAATGTGCACTCATCTGTGTAATGAGAGGTTTATGCACTGCAACCCCTCCATAATATCCCTCACTTTGTAATTGTGGACAGACTGTTCTTGCTGACACAGTCCAGTCACGTCCTGCATTGAAATTTTAATTCACCTGAGGAAGTGTACACCCTGCTTTCCCCTGATATCAAACTAATGCACAAGCATGTCAGCCCTTGTGCACTGATTCCAATTTAACTTTTTCAAATGTTGGTGTATTAAAATCAGTAGGTTGTGATAATAGGCCAGCTTTAAATATCACATTACTATTAAGTAAAAGGAAAGTCATACATGCTTTTCAAAATTAGCCATAAAAAAATTCTGAAAACTGGATTGTTCATTTGTATTCAGCCTCCCCTAACCAACCAACAGTTAGTTTCCACCATTTTTGCAGATTTAGAAACCAAAATATTTGTGCATACTGAGTTATAAAAATAGTTCAAACTCAACTGATATTGGATGGAGAGAACATTTTCAAACATTGATTTTCAAGTTTTGCCACAGATCTATTACGCAAGGCATGATGTTTTCCTTAAGATATGACATATCTATACTTAGCAGCCTATAACGCATGCAGTAGTTGGATCAAGTCTGTGACTTTAATACTACAAATTTTGAAAAAATTGAACCATATTTATTCGTTTGAAAAGCATCATATAACATGAAATGTATCCTTATGTCTATTCTCCAGTTTTTCATCCTCATAAATATATAGATCAATTTTCCTACCTCATCCTGAACCTCATTTACCTAATTCTGTAACTCTTATGTATAATAAAGATAAAGTAAAAGCTGGTTTTGAGTGAAGCTGCTTGATATGGCATTCAGTCATTATATATCTTCACCCAGACAAGTCATCCAAACAAACCAATCAATGTGTCTCAAGCTTCCTCTGCATCTTTAAAAGCCACAGTTGACAAATTGGCATCACTTTTCTAAGCAGTCCAAGCCTTTTAAAACACAGCCACGGCTTATTAGCATGCACTAAGTTGCAGAAAAATCTCCTCAACAGCATTACCTGACGGCCTCTCAACTCTGCATAAGCAGTGTTCTCTCTATTAGCCTCTTCAGCACAAACTCAATCAGTTCTCCATGCTTAACACTAACCCAATCACCTTGTGCTAATGCCATGCCACTTTTACTTAGGATAATAAATGGGAAATGTCCACAAGTGACCTAGAGACACCAACAATCTGCCTAGAAAGGCAGCAGATGAATGGGGCTAAAATGGGGTGTTTCATAGGGGAAGCAAAGCCCTGGGGGGTAAAGAGAAAAAGTGTTGGTTGTTAGAAAAGAAAGAGGGCGATAACATGAGGAGAAAGTGAGAGAATAGGAACAAGCTGCTTGCAGGAAGACAACAGATGTCCCATGCAAAAGAAGGGAAAATGTGAGGAACATGCTTTATGTGCAGACGATTGTTGATTGCAGCTGCTGAGGAAACACTCTAGAGTAATTTAATAGTAATGATAGCCAATATCATCAAGTACTGGGACATTATCACCACTGACAGTGTTATTTTAGCGTATTGATCTGTGCCACAATAAACTGATGGCATTTAAATATGCCAATATGTTGATTTCAATGTAAACATGAATGATGTGCTTTTCTTTTTGCAAGAGACCTGATCTCAACAGCTTAAAAGATTTTCTTTTAACACATTAGCAATTACTTTTTCCCTGCTGTTGTTTTCTCTGTAATTGACATCTAGAAATCTAATGCTCTGTGCTCTTTCTACTCATTTTTTATCTCTTTCTGCTCTTTCTTCTGTAGGTTTAGCCCCTATGAGTGGTACAACCCGCACCCATGCAACCCAGACTCTGATGTGGTGGAAAACAATTTTACACTGCTCAACAGTTTCTGGTTTGGAGTTGGGGCTCTCATGCAGCAAGGTATTTGCCTCAGCCTTTGGCTACAGTGGATCTGTAAAGCTGAAGCTCTCTATACCCCACTGGACTTAAGGGCTGGATGCTTTAACAACAAAAAAAACTAGTGGCAAAAGAAAAAGACGTCAGTGGATGTTTGGCAGCTCTTTGTTTGCACAGGCTAAACATACTTTTCTACACAAGATACACATATGATAGAGGTTCTCAGTTTGTCAGGAAGTAACTTGAACCTTTAGGTTTTTGTAATCTTTAAAATTGTCACATTCAAAATATCAAATCAAATTTCTCACATTCTGAAAGGCTTCTATTTTGATGTCTCCATTTTATATTGAATTTATTGTTATTTATTTCTTCCACAAAAAAAAGTTGCTATCTGCTCTTCCCTCTATAACCTGAAATCCTGGAGTCTGAGCTGAAGTTTGATGGCTGTTCCCTTTTTTTATCTGTAAAGTTTTATTGAATAATTTATGTTGTGGGTTTTGGCCTGGCTCAGAGGGAAACTTAAAACACATTGTTTATATGACGGCAGCACTTACCTTAATACAGTGGAGATTACAAGCCCGTGATTAAACAACTGCCAATATCCAGCCTCCTCTTCTCTTGCCAGTGGCCTATCAGCACCTTGAGCTCAGCGGGGTGTGGAGTCAGGATGTGAGGTTACCTTGGGTGCATGACTCTCTGGCTCTCACTTCTCCACACTATTCTGTATAATCAATACCAACCGTGTTTGATTTGAAATCGTTGATTTATGCAAACACTACCCACCCAGCAGGCATATCAGAGAGTACCTTCAGGTTTTGCCTGCATTAATTAAGGGATTCACTTCTAGATGATTTAGTTTGTTTGAAGTGTTAGAAATCATCTGGTGTTCAGGCATCCCTTAAGTGATACACTGTGGAAGTCAGTTGTTGCTGTACTAAAGTAAAAAATAAATTCAGACTTCTCAAAACCGTAGAAACTTAATGAAATAAACACATTTTGCAGCATAAACAATTTTTCTTGCCCCTCACCTCAGGCTCCGAGCTCATGCCGAAGGCCCTGTCGACCCGAATAGTAGGAGGCATCTGGTGGTTTTTTACCCTCATCATCATTTCATCATACACAGCCAACTTAGCTGCTTTCCTCACTGTGGAGAGGATGGAGTCGCCGATAGACTCTGCAGATGATCTGGCTAAACAAACCAAAATCTTGTATGGAGTGGTAGAGGATGGCGCCACCATGACATTCTTTAAGGTAGTGTTTATTTACTTTGATGGTATTTTAGTTAAACAGTCGAGGACATTTTTTTTCACCATTCTTTGGGTCTCTTTTATAAAGTGCCATTTCTGACATGATAAGAAAAATAAATACAGTATTAGTAAATGCTACATAAAATAAACATACAAATAAAGGCACCACAAATGCATCAAATAAATACATTTTAAAGTTAATTTAATGACACAATTACACATATATGTATACATCTCTTAATCAGCTTCTTTATTTAGTCACCTATGTAATAATTATGTTAGTTGTTTATTATCATTTTAATTTTCAACTGTATTTTAAATTACTTATGTTTCTTAATTTGTTTGTCTCTTTTATTCTTCATTTGTTTTAAATCATGTTTTAATATTTCAGACCTTTTTATTTCCACTTCTGCCTCATTATTCAAATGAGGAGGAGATGGACCTAAAGAACGATATAATAAAATATCCAGTATTTATTTGATATGTTAAGGACAGATGCTTTATTCTGGTAACTGCACTACCGTATTAAAGGAAAATTTTTCTATAGTTGTGGATGATAACTTCCTCATACTTAATTTTCTTAGTTTTACTTTGCATCATCTTGAAAAACAATTTATTTTAGTATGTGGAGAACAACAAGGTGGTGCAATAAAGAAATTGCCTGGATGAGATGTGTTTTGTGTTTTTTAATACCATCCGACCATAAGGAAAATTTGCTAGAAAGTTGATATTATGACAAAAAAAAATAAATCCAAGGAGTACAAGTAAAACGTCGTCTAAAACGAAATACTCCAGTAAATTATTGAAAGCCAAACTTTTTCTTAAGTTAATAAAGTATTTGTATTTGACGCCTATGTTTGTAACCAGCTCTGTAATTCCTAGCTAAATTTGTAATCTGGATGCTCTGACAGAATGTGAGTTTGAGTTCGCTTCACACATGGACACAGATGCTCACTTGTTTTTTATCTTCAATCACCCCAGACAAAACTCCAACCCCTGCGTCCAGAGCATATATTGGGCAGGAAGAGTGAATCCAGTTCCCTGTCTTATTTCCAACCAACTAATTGTGGAAATACAGATGTTGTACTTTTGTTAGAAAGTGAAGGAAGGGTCCCATTACCTCAATGTTCACTTGGTAGGATACAGCTATGTCATATATGAGAATACTTTCCTAAAATAACAATAATCACGTCTGTTTAACCTAGATCCACATAAACATTAATGCTCAATATACCCCGCTCTCAATAAGTAAATAGCTTTGCACTCATTTCCAGATGTCTGACAACAATATTATCTCCTCTGATTGTCGCACATCTCCAAAAAGTTGTAAAATATATTCCACAAACACCTGCTGAGTGGCCTACCGTGGCTTCAATTAGGGTTTTTTCTTCAAGCATTTATTAATCAATAAGGCCCAGAGCTTTTATAGGATTTTTTCTAAGCCTATCACTAGAAGGTTAAAGATGGAGCAATATGTAGCCTATGCTAGGCCCATCCTGACCTCTAACATAAAGCGTCTGCTCTCACAGTCCAACTTCAGAGCCTGTCTTTGGAATGCTTGATCACATGCTCAAAATAAGAGATCAGAAATAACCTCTGGTCAGAGGAAAGGTTGCAATCACCAACCTACTGCTCTTTATATTGATGATAAAGATTACAACCTGTACCAGTATAGAAGAGCAACAGAATAGAAACAAATGGATAAAAATCAGCTACTAGATCATGCCTAATGATGCAGCATAACAATTCCCCCGCGCCTCAAGCACTGCAGCAACTTAAGGCTTAATGAAATTCACCCATAGTGACAAATGAACGCAAAACTAATTTTGCGTTCATTTGTTATGATTTTTATTCAGGGAGAAGAAGCTTTATTGTAACAGTACCTTCAGGATTTTTATAGTATCTTGTTTTAGCAGTGTCAATGATAATTAGATCAAGAAGTGTGTTTTAAACTAAAGTAAATTGTTAGTTTGTATTACAGTTAGTTTGTTTAGTTTGGCAATTCCAGATTGTTTTTTCAACCCTCTAGGTAAAAGTAGTGTATCACAAATACAGAGGAAGTCTACATAAAAATGCTAGCTTTAGTTAGGATCTCAATAAAAATGAACCTATTTCTGGTCTTGATCCCTTTCATGTAAAATAAGAAATGTGATGAGCATTTTGATGTTCTTCATCCAGTTCAGAGAGAAATATGCAACATAAAGCATGGTATAAGATATTAGGGGGTTTGTTAGAACAACTCAGTGCTTTCAATGGCTAAAATAAATTTTTAATTAAACATGCAGATTTTGTGTTAGAAGCACAATGTATATATACTTTTATATATATATATATATAAAAATACTATTACTTTCAAAATTACCTTTCAGTGGATATAAACAAATATTTTTTGTTGAGTTTGTATTTCTATATCAAAATAGTAGTATTTTGTATTTATCGTTCCGTTTTGATATTCTAAAACTACATGTCACGTTCTTAAAATTCGTTGGCAGAAATCGTCATATTTACCAGAAATAGAGGCTTCAAAACAGTATTTATGTTATTAATATAAATAACATGTTCCACTTAGAGAACTGAGTTACAGAATAAATGAACTTTCTAATAACATTGTAATTGACTTAATATGACTATAGACTAATATTTCTACATTTATGTTTAGGGTTGGATAATATAAGTAGCTCAGTGTGTTATTAAAGTAGCTGCCTATGGAAATTATCCAAACTGATAGGTAAAAAATAAAAGCTTTAATATCAGTTCACAAGAGATTTAATTCATTTTATATCATTAAAATAGGATCCTTATAAATATACCTTATAAAAAAAAGGTTTATATAAAAAAAAAAAGAAAAAAAAAAAATACCTAAAAGGTATTGAGAAGTTGAAATTTGATAAAGTGCTCTTCTCTGGTTATTTGCAGAAGACAAAGATCTCTACGTATGATAAGATGTGGGAGTTCATGAACAGCAGGAGGCAATCTGTGATGGTGAAGAGTGTTGACGAGGGCATTCAACGTGTTCTGACCTCAGATTATGCATTCCTGATGGAGTCCACCACTATTGAGTTTGTCACCCAGCGCAACTGTAACCTCACACAGATCGGAGGCCTCATAGACTCCAAAGCATATGGAGTAGGAACACCTATGGGTAAAATACTTGAAACCTCCCTTCCTTTTTTTATTGTATCTTTTGTGTTATAAAACGATATGTAGAAAGAATTACATAATATGATAAAACTATATTTTTATTATATTATGTAACATAATAATTTATAATAATAATGCTCTGGAAATGTTAGATTTGACTGTTTTCGTCGTTGCTTTTTGTTGCTTAGATTTTTCCCAGGGTTGGGTGTAAATGGATACAAATAAAGAGCCATGAAAGGTTTGATTTTTAGATAAGAACAACCTTTCTCTCTCTGTCCTTCAACAAGAGTTACAAAATGCTGTGCAAACAAGAAACCTCTTAAGGTCGAATTGTTACACTGCACTTTGCAAAAACATCTATACCCTGTTTTTTGGCATTTTCTAATTTCATTATCACCATTCTCATTGAATTTTCCAAGGATTTATGATTACTAAGCAATTGTTATTTATGTTACAGGGTTAATTGTGCAGCAGCACAAAGAGGAACATGATTTTTTATTTCTTTTGCAAGTAAAAAAAATCTAAGATAACAGCTATACACAGCAAAAGAAAAAGAATGTGCTTTGATCAGATGAGACCAATCTGATAATTTGTCTACTTGTGTGTGCTATGGAAATCTAACTTCACCCATTACCATGAAAACACCATCAGCCTAATATATGGTGGTGGCAACAGCATGTTGTTTGAAACATTATATCAGCAAGAATAGGATGATTGGTCAAAGTGAATGGGAGGATTAATGGAGCAAGCCAACATGTTGCAAGCTGCAAAGAAATTGAGAATGGGATGGATATTCACCTTCCAACATGACAGTAACCCTAGAAATACACCTAGAGCTTCAGGTAAAATTGGTTTGATCAAAGCAAATTTAGAACCTGGACTTAAATTTCAATGAGAATTTCTATCAAAAATGGTAAGTTGTAGTAAACAGACTCCATTCATCAGCGGTTTTTCTGAAGAAAAACAAAATAGCATAATGCATCAACTCGAGATGTTGTTAAGTTGGCAGAAAAAGAGCTCAAAAGGCTTTTACAGACATGGTATATGATATGGACACAAATGGATACAAATTCAATGAGAATTTCTATCAAAAATGGTAAGTTGTAGTAAACAGACTCCATTCATCAGCGGTTTTTCTGAAGAAAAACAAAATAGCATAATGCATCAACTCGAGATGTTGTTAAGTTGGCAGAAAAAGAGCTCAAAAGGCTTTTACAGACATGGTATATGATATGGACAGTATTAATTTAGGAAGTCTGAATACAAGCATAAATACTGCTAAAGTTAGAATTTTTTTTTTTGACAAAAATTGAATGAAAATCATGTATAATTTCCTTCTGCCTCATAATGCCTTGTTTTATGTTGATCTGTCTCATAAAATTTATAGGAAATTTGTGAATGTTATCTGCTAATGTGATGAAATATGAAAAAAGACTCTTACAAGCTGCTGTATTCCCATTTAGTAATGAGAAGTTTTTTTTTTTATTAGATGTCATCTATAACCACTTAAGGAAGATTAAAATGAGCCCCTGCGTATGTTTAAGCTGCTGGTTCAAGCCTAATTCTGTCAAAAAAATAAAATTAATATTATCCTAAAATGAATTCAAGGAACTAGATCTCTCAAACTGTATTATTGTTATCAGAAAATTAGAGCAAAGTAGCACACATGTGAAAAGTGTAACATATTGAGCATGCTGCTGAGAAGCTGTAAATACTTCTAGGACCAGCATCACAGAGGTTAGAGTGGTCTCAACAAGGCCACAGAGGACACTCTTACCAGCTGTAATTGTGGCACATATCACTGATACGAAAGCCATGAAACTAGATAGAAACATCTCTCTCTGCCAACATTTGAACCTGACTTGTGTCTATGAAGGCGGGATATTTATGAATCTGTACGGGATGCAGTCGTTGCCATGATGATGGGGAAGCTAAAAAGGTGCAATGAACTATATCCCCACTTTGAGTGCAGAAATATTTGCAGAAACGCCCTGGAGATGGATGCACAGAGCCTAAAGGTCGATTTACTGTTGTTGTCTCATTCATGTGGTGATATAGTGTAGGAAAAATACAAATACTTTGACACATAAAGCATAAGATTTAAATGTCTAATCTGAAAGCAATTACTGACCACTAACATTTATGCCTTTCTCTCTACTCTTCATTGCCCAATAGGCAAATTACAGCCATCAGGATGTTTCCGTAGAGGTTCTGAGGTAGTTAATTTCGTTATTAGTTGAAGGGAAGAATAGAAGTGTTTTTATTCTTTTTTTAATGGTGTCTATGACCTCATTTCCTTGCTCCATAACCTATGAGAACCTCAGCTGTTTCATCAACTTGTGGTAAAAGCTTTTGCTGCTTTAAAACCAGAAGCAGCAACGTATAATTTCTTAACCTTTTGCTGCTTTACTGCTTTCAACCATCCTTCCGCCCAAAAACATGAATGCGTCATCTTCTGCGCTATCGACTTAAACTGTGATCCTATTAATGCTTGAGGCCAGACAGTCGTAGGAATGATAGATGTCCTTGGATGTTGAATATGTTATGTAGCTGGGTATGTGCAGGGCGTAGGGAACAACGCTTTTCCATTTGCCTAGATCCCACTCTCCGTATCCTCCTCTCAAAGGACCCATCCTATTAGCATTTATCCGAGGCCTGCTTTGTTAGGCCATCATTAATCATTTGAAATATGAAAGGAGTCTGAACCAGGGGACTCGCAGACTCAATGGATCTCTCATCTTTAAATGAAGTGAGGAAATGCTCCTCGCATGCAAGTTCCCGTGCATTTACACGATTCTGTTTTGAGACCTGTACTTGCTCCAGAGTGTGGAATGCATACAAGTGAGGCTAAGTATCTCAGGGAAAGAGAAATAAAAATCTGCTGCAAAAAAAAAACTTCAGTAACACATAGTGTTATTCTGTTTCATTCCAACACTTTTTTGTCAGTCTAAACACACAGAGAGTGAAGATGAAAGGATGATGGATGGTGATGGATAAATGATAGATGAGATAGCAGGGGAATTAACAAAAAGGAGCTGACAGGCTAAACTGTATCAGGGTGACAAAACAAAGTGATGCTACCAGCTACCTGGAGCCATGTGTTATGAATTTCCCTTGAGCTTAAAACAGGATTATTTCAAGTTTCTAAAAATACTCTATTAAAGAAACACATCTGTTCTCAACTGTGGCTTATAATCCATTGAGCCAAGTGTCTAAAATGGAGATGTACAGCTGCGCTCCATTATGCATGAGCTTGTAAGTACACAAACAGCCTAATAAGCTTTTAGAAGATTGAAAACGTGGAGTGTAAAATCTTAATATAAGTGTTAATCATATTTTTGGTGTGGTTAGAGAGAGAGTGTGCTCTATAGCGCTGCCGTGATCAGGAGAGGACCACAACTCAGCTGCTGTGTGACAATTGCTCCAGCTTTGATCATGCAAGCACCCACTGTGCCTCAATGTCACTAACGTCTGGCTCTTTCCCACGTTCTGTGGATTTGGGTCCTTCCGGCTTACATACACAAAAAAACACAAAAATGGAAGTTTTATCTGCGGTACACACATATAATCCCAAACACATATGGAACCGTGTGATGTTCACCCTGCAGGGCTTCTCTTTTTTTAGGCACTATTTTTGTTGCATGAAAGTGTCTGCGAACAGCAGCTAATTTGTCAAAAATCGACAGCGGTTCTGATGCACAAAAAGCCAAATTATTGTTGCCAGCTCCCTGCACATCATAATCCGCACCCTGCAGGGATGAGTGAGAATTCTGGAATCACTCTGTGAAAATACAGATTAGCAGGATTTGAAAAAGGACTCACAAATGAAAACTCCCTCTAAGAAGCCAACAATAACATGACAGGTTTTGTGATCACAAGTCCCAATGTTTTACACACACTCACAAACAAAACAAGGACTGTTCCAGACTCTTAAACATGTTCACTTGTCTTATGTTGGGCTTTTTGTTTCCACAGGCTCTCCTTACAGAGACAAAATCACTATAGCTATTCTTCAGCTGCAAGAGGAAGGAAAGCTGCACATGATGAAGGAGAAGTGGTGGAGAGGCAATGGCTGTCCGGAAGAGGAGAGTAAAGAGGCGAGCGCTCTTGGAGTGCAGAACATCGGGGGGATCTTCATCGTGTTGGCTGCAGGACTGGTGTTGTCAGTATTTGTTGCCGTCGGGGAGGTCCTTTATAAGTCCAAACAGAACGCCCAGCTGGAAAAGGTATAGGAGTCATTTTTGGCAGGATTATAGGAACTGGCCATAATGAATACCAACTGTCAACAGTGGCAATTTCATTGTTTTATCTTTGTGTTTTACTGTGCAAAAGAGTCTGGTGAAGTAATCATGTGCACTGAGACAAAATAATCCACACTCCAAAAACAGGGCCAGGTACTCAGCTACAAAATTAGTATTTTGAATGAACAAAAAGGCTTATGCATTGTAGAACCCCATTTCCGGCTTGTTCATTGCACCATTTTGTAGTACAAAGGTGAGATTTTTTTTCTCATTACACCAAAGTTTTAAAGTTTCAGAGACAATTTCTTTTTTAAAGTTACCATCCTGCAATTTTTTATTTTATTTTTTTGAATGAAATGCTTTTTGTAACTTAGGAAGTGGTTGAAATCCTTTTCATTGGGTTAAATAAAATTATATAAATTAAACCTCAGAATAACATTTCCTGAAAGATGAAACAGTTGCTTTGTGGCTTTCCAAAGTATACAAAGCAGAAGGCTTTTTGTCCCAACATAATAAATACCCTTTTTTCTTTTTGGTGCATGATTCAAATTCAGTTGATATAGAAATAAATAGATGTAGATATAAACTAATTAAATTGATATAGAAATAAATAGAAAAGCTACAATTTAAAGTTCTGCTCTCTTACCAGGATTATTTGTTTGATTTTCTCCCTGAAACCCCAATTATTATTAATTTATGCATACACCATGGAGAAGTAAAGACCAACCATGGTCTTAATATTTGACAGTAAAAGCAGTCGTCAAAAATTTAAAAAGCTTTTTTTCTAAAATTTCTTTCAAGTCTTGGTTTGACATATTGTAATAGAAGCCACCCGTATTTTTTCATATATTATTAAGAGTAGGGTTAAAGCCAAACAAACTACCAGTTAAAGAAAGTTCTCAACGTTAAACACAGAGGTGGCAGCATCACACTTTCTGACTACTATTCTTCAGGTGAAGCCGGATTTTTTAAATCAAAATGGATTGAATTATAAATTATGTTTTACCTGTTGTCAATATGTGTCTGCTAAAATAATAGATAAGACTGAATTATCCAATTATATGTCTGAACAAGATGTTTTGCTTAAGGAGCACTATGTGAGAAAGAATGTGATTTCTAAAACCCTGAAAGCAGAGTAAACTACTGAACAAGAGCATAAGCTCTCTCTTGTTGCATATTGGTCATCTGAGCTTTTGCTGATATAATCAAGAAAGGCAATAAAAACAAAATCCAAGAAGAACAAAATAAAGGGAACCAAAAACCAGGATTGTCAGGGGAAAACACACATAGGGAGCCAAATAACCACAAGAAACCAGCACTGAAGAACTGCACAGGGAGAGTATATATGAGAGACAGAACAAAGCCTGGGATAATCAGCTAACAGGGAGCAGGTGTGAATAGAAGCACCTATAAACTAGTGGAAAGGAGACTGGCACAAAGGGGCAAAAGAGAGCAACACACAAAAAACACAACACAGGTTAAATATAACTAGAAAACGACTACAATGACACAAAATGGAAAAGAACGCATAAATAAACAAGACCCAAAAAAAGAAGTCCAAAGGGGAGAACCATAACATAATCACTATGGCAAGGAACGATAAGTTTATTATTTATACAGCACATGTCAGTGGCAAGATATTTCAAAGTACCGTACATAAAAAAAATGTAAAGTGCATGTAGGTAGCATAGCGGAGTCAGAAATAGTAAAAAAAAAAAAAATATATATATATATATATATATATATATAAAAAATATATATATATATATATATCTATATATATATATATATATATATATATATACTATATATATATATATATATATATATATATATATATATATACATATATATATATATATATATATATGATTATATAAGAAAATTAAATTAGTTGCTCTGTGTTATTTGTCCAAATAACATTGCATAACTAACAACAGAGATTTAAATATTGTGAGAAAGAATAAACTAAATCCTTTGTAAGCTGCCCTTTTTTATTTTCTGCTGAAATGTCTTTGCTACTTTGGAGCACCTTGAAAATCACTGTGGTTTCTACCTCTTTCAGTGTAAATTTACAGTCAGTCAAATTTGTCTGATGTGACAGATTTAGTAAAATCCTGAAGACTCTCTGGAGATCTTCTTAAGAAGATATGCTAGCCAGTGTGGAAACTCTCAGTGCAACTTTCCACTAAATGCTTAAGTACAACTTGACTGATCTTTTAAACAAGAAGTGTGTTCTTTTTGGTGGTTTTTACTTGAAATCTTGGCTCTCACCCTTCAGATCTGTGGATTTACTCTCCTTGAAAATTAAAGTTGTCAGGCATAAATATACAGTGAAGATCAAAAAAGTGCTGTTAAAATTTCTGAGCAATTTTTTTTTTATTTATTCCATTTATGTTACAAAAGTCTTGTGAAATTTTACTGAAAAATAAAAAAATTGGAGAATAAAACTACTTATTTAGGCTAACACATTCCCCATCTAAGGGGAGTGTTGGCCTAGTGATTAGGGCATAGAGCTTGGAATCCTGCGGTTCTGAGTTCAAGCCCCACTCCCATAGATTGCCACTCTGGATCTCTGAGCAAGACCCTTAAATACACATGCTCTCTGGGATTCACATAATGGCTCCCCCAGGGGATGGGTTAAATGCAAAGGTAAATTTCTCTATTGTGAGATCAATAAAGTACAATTATTATTTCAACAAAAGCTGTTCCAGTGCTGCACAGGCGCTACTGTCTGCTTAGCACCATTTTCTCTCTCTTCCTACCTTTAACAAACCTTCTTGAGGAGCAGAAATTAGAATTATATCAGCCCCAATACTTTGCTTGGCCAGGGGAAACAATTGCTTTCATCACTGACAGGTTGTAAAACAGCAGTGAACATAAATGGGTTAGTTTCCTTTTCAGTCTGCATAATTTAGATAGGAACAACAAAAACATATTTTTTAACATCAAGGAAAAGTATACCAAAACCTTATTGTCTCTCATCCGCCATCTGCTGTACTTTTAGATTAGCCATTGCAAACTGAATTTAGGTGTTACTAGCATTTACAGCTTGTTTATGGGCCTAAATATAAGCTTCTGGTACGATACGCCAGTTGGCCTTCTAAATAAGGGACAAAACACAGACTGTTGCTTAAAACTATGATTCTAAAATAGATTGGTGGCATTAAGACATTAGTTTGCAGAGACCATATCTTCTGTAGATAAACAGTCTCCCTGCCCTGTGATCCTCAGCAGAAAATTGCAGTACAACAGCTGTTAAGAACCGGCTCTCATTTCAGTCCTGGTGTCTTACTGGAACTTGTTTGGTGTATAAATCCTCTCTAATATCTTATAGTTCATATTGCACATAATTATTATTTTTTTCTATTAAATGAGACAGCTGTTGTCACTGTTATTAAGGTCACCTAAGTAGAATAATTACAAGATATAAAAGCTTCTTTTAATCAGCAAATATTGCTCCATTTTTGCAGCTTTTCTTCCCCTGCATGTTATGTTTCTAGAGACTAAAAATATTACACATACCACTATCTATGCTCTATTTTAATACATCAGTGCACATGATTCATCGTGCAGAGAGGAGTATGTGTTTTAGCACACTGTAATGTGTGCAATTTCATTTCCACATAATTACTAAAGTCCCTAGATGGTAATTTTTAATTATTTAAATCTCAAGTATTAATATATTGCAGCAGTCTATTACATTTATATGCAGTTGATATTATTTCAATCTTGTTAGATATATATAAAATATTTTTGCAGTCTGCATATATTTCACAGCACATCTCAGCTATCATTAATCAAGAGCTTCGAGACTGGGTCACAATATTCAGATGATTTGCAAATGCCGTGATTTTCTAGGCTTCCAAGGTGCTTCTAATTTGCATACAGACAACAAGCTTGTCCTTTCCCAGCTGCAAGCCTCTCCAGCTTTTTACCTCTCTCCTTTTTACCATTTCATTCCCATTTTCTGTCACATATTTTTTACTTCCCCTAATCAGTCTACATCTTTAATTATTTATTTTCTAAAACTGTATAAATATTTTATTTTTTTCCCCCTGTCAAATGTGTCTAAAAAATAGAAAAATTACCTGGTGCTATCTACTGATATCCATCGCAAACACCCACACACATAAACAAACTGAAAAATAAATAAATAAGAGTGTCATATTTTTATGCTCTTGCTTTTCTTGTATATCATCTCCCCTCCTACACCCTTTGAATTTAAATTACATCCTGCGTAATTGGGTCAGGAATGTAACCGAACTGGATTTACCAAAGTTTGTGCAAAGGCATATTGACATTTTATAGGATTTTACAGCACATACATTATTCAGGCATACCAGAATCTCATATCGCCAAAGTTACATAACACCAAGATGTTTTAAACAGCTTACCAATAGTCTGGGATAAGTGGGTTATCTGACCTCAAGGTGGCATCATTTTGTATTTCTTTATTAATTCTTCTGGATTTGGTACTTGGTGAGGAGAAAACAACAGACTTTTTTTGACAATGACATTGACCAGTGGAAATGTTTAGCATAATTGTAAAGGTATACCTCCTCTTTAAATTTTTACTTTTTCTTTAATTGTATTTTCATGGCTCCGTTTCCTGTTGCTTTTCAAAGTAAATTTAAATTTGCTTCTGATATCCTATTTTTTCCTGGTAACCTGCCCATTTACTTTAATGCTGTCTCTTCACTGTTTATATGCTACATAATAATCCCAAATAGTACTTTGACTAGAGGTAAACTCAAGCAAAATCAAGCTTGTGTCCTTAGCAAGAGGCCTGGAAACTTGGGGGTAGGGCTGGGTATTGTTCAAAAATTTTCGGTTCCGGTACCAATATCGATACCTTCACTTTGATACCGGTTCCTGAACGATACTTTTTTCGATACCAGTTTTATAATATCAATTCGAAGAAAATGAACATTACAAAACATAAAAAAGTACAAATCTTGAGTTTTATTTTAAGCTCTTATTTT